ATATGTAGTTTTATTTCCTAATTTATTCAACATGTGTGTAGTTACATTAGCATTTATTGCAAAGAAAATGCCCTGTATTATCAATTTGAAAGGAGCAAGTTGCGAAATATGATCCAATTACAAATTTTTTAATCTTTTTCACCAATGACTTCAATTTTTCAGAGATTTTTTCAAATTAAGAATGGGCTGGAGTTGGTTACGAATCAATGATCACCACAACTGTGGATGCATTGATTCTTAACAACTGGCTGTCTTGTTTGTTCGTTATCTTTAAGATCAAAAGAGCAGCGTAACAGAGTGTGATGTTTGCATGCCAGTCCCCGAAAAATGGAACGTTGTTGTTCTTGCACGATGGATTGTCGGCCCTTTAATCGGTGCTGCCATTATTTTGTCTCGCTCACCCACGACAATTCTCCGCACCACCAGAGCCTGGCCTAAATTCCTGCTTTCCTTCCGAAACGAACCGTGTTTGCGATCCAATCCCTAAAACTAGGAAAACTTCTGGTGGTGTATTCGTGCGAGATTCAAAATCCTGTTTTTACATGAGGGATCCCTCAAACTTTTGTCCCTTTGCGATAGGTTGATTTTTTCACTTTATAAAACACAAGATCACCATGACATTGACTCCAGCGATGAAGATTACCCACCACTCCAGAAGAGTGGTTTGGAAGCATCGGTTTTCTTAGCTAGTGGCTTTGCCGTGTTTTTGTTAAAATCTGAGATATTTGTTTGTTTTAAATTATATTTTAATAATTTTAGATTATTTTGATATATAATATTAAAAATAAATTTTAATCAATAAATAAATAATATTATTTACTTTAAAAAATAACCACTACCATACAACAAATACTACATTTATAAGGGTGATTGAAAGAGTATTATTACAAAAAAAAAAAATCAAATTAAGTATTAGAGTTGTCCAAATCAATCCAAGCACTATTTTTTTTTAAAAAAATAGAGAATCTTATTTATCTAATTTATTTTTTTATTTTTATATGATTTAAAAAAAACTAATGGGGTTATTGTTTTTTTAATCAGATTTTGGCAAATTAAAACTTTCACTGGACTTAAATTGTAAATCTTTAATATTTTAGTTAAACAAACATTAAATTAATTTGAGCTGTCCAAACTGGTTGATCGGGTATAGAGCAAATTTGAGGCAAGAAAAATAAACCCATATCAAATAAGGGATAATTACTTGAAATTGCCATTTTTTTTCACTACATTTACTTAAATACACACCGCTGATTGTTTGGGTGAGAAATTTTTTGGACTGAGCTTGTCTCATTGACTTTCAATTCAGGATTCTCTGGCCGTTGCATGTTGTAAAAAAAGACTGAGAAAAGGGAAGCTAAATTGGATAATGAAAGATTAATTAATTGGATATATGCATTACTATGAAGAAAATGATGGCGACTTATATGTCCATGGGAAAAGAGAAGCGAAATTAAATATATAGTTTTGCCTTCGAGAGAAATTAAATTAAGATGTATAAGCATTAATTTGGAATCTATACTTACATCTCATCAAAAACCAAGATTACTTCTTTTATTCGTAAAAAAACAATTAAGTATGCCTCTGGATCGTTCCCTCGGTGGACCAATTATTGAAATGCTCTGTTACCAACTTACAATGTATAGTTGTATACCATACTGGGCATGATTAGGGAGAGACAATTGCTTCTTAATCAATTAATTAGGCCTCAAACATAGACACATGGCAGTTTTTTAGCACGTTATACCGACTGACCATGACAGATCACGGGAAAGATCATGGAAACACTACCTGATGGCTGTCTAGGTGTTAAATCTTGCAAAACAGTTGCAACGTGGGTCGCTTGCTCACTTGACGCGTGGGACATGTTTGTCATATTGTCAGAAGAGATGGAAATACAAGGACTTTCTATCCTCAGCAAACAGAGTACTCCGTATTGAGAAATTGGAAGATAGGAGAAGTTTCGTTCACCTATTAATTTTACAGTTCAGATACTTGTTGTGTTGTGTTTCTGAATGGGGTCACTTTGTTTGTAGATGTATTTTCAAATTGTATTTAATGTAAAAAATATTAAATTCATTTTTTATTTTTTTATAATTTTGATTTTTGATATTGAAAAAAATATTTTTTTAATATATTTTTTAAAAATAAATATTTTACATCACTGATATTTTGGCTGTTATCCTGGGGCAAGTTTTATTTGGAGAGTATTTGAAATCATATATCAATTCATATTTTTTAAAAATTTAATTTTTTATATTTAAAACTATTTTAATACACTGATTTTAAAAACAATTACTTAAAATAAAAAAATATTATTAACTATAACCACAGTCTCCAACAGTCACTGTCATAACTTCTGAAAGGTTATCTTGAGATTTACCTTCATGCCTTTACTAGATACTTATCACGAGTTGCATTGTATACATGATCGGAATTTTTTCATATATGTGTGTATTTTCCGAGTGTCCGAGTTGCATTGTATACATGATCGGAATTTTTTCATATATATGTGTGTGTGTGTGTGTATTTTCCGAGTGTTATTTTGATATGGGATTTTGAAGTGTTAATTAAAAAAACAAATGAGTTTGCTCTTCTATATTACATGTAATTCCTTTTCTCTTAGAAACTGTTTTTAAAATTGTAATTATTTCAAATTAATGGCAAGAATGAAATTACTTTAGAATTCATCCGAGAATACATGGAAAAGTCATCAGGAGGAAATTAAAGGATAGGCGTTGATCGGGGAAAAATGCAATGGCACAAAATCTTATCATGTCCCGGGTAGACCCGTGAAATTCTCTCCTTAATCCCCAATAATCTGGCAAGGAACATCCAGAGGTAAATACGTACGAAACAGGTGCATGATCCTTGCTCCAAACTTCTATCTAATTGTGGCTTTTTTAAAACTGAACCAATCCGGTAATAGAAAGTTAGGAAATATATATAAAAAAAAGATAGGAAATATGAACTGTCCAAATGGTGCCTGTAAGTTTATCATGTAAAGGTGTCCTCCTGAATCGTGATCCTTTAAAAGATACGCATTGGTGTTGCTGTGGACCTGTAATTCTCATGCAACCAGATTTCATTTCAATTAAAAATAAAAAAAATGGACCCTCGTTTATATTCTATAATATTATCGTGTAGATAATCTTACAAGTAAGAATTTAATAAGCAATGGAGGATGGTGGTGCACGTCAACGGACTTCTACTCGAAACTCTTCACTGCAAATGCCAGGCACAAGAATCGCGAGATATCCAGACATCCAGGCATCTTTCTCTCTCCACCGCCAGCCTCAAGTTCACTATTGTGAGACGTGGACCTACCGTTTATTGCCATGTAAGCATAAAAGTTATAGTTGTGGACATCACTCTCAACCGAACTTTGCCTGTCCCTGCCCCCTTGAACTGGTGGGGCTTCAATTTATGTTGCTGCCTTTTGGCCACTTATCTGGCAAATTGACCTCCTCCTCCTCTCTGTTTTTTTTATTCCTTTTCTTCCTGTGATCGGGTGGGACGCCTTTAAAAAAAAATAAAAAAAATACTATATTAATCACGCATGACCATGTGCTTAACCCATAATTAATTTATTACTTGTTTTCATCTCTTGTTGTCCTGGTAACTGAGTTCTTCAAACGGGCATCCCATGAATTCAACCCGTAATTTATTAATTACTTGTTTTGATCTTTAGTTTGACCAGTAACTGGGTTGCTCAGATAAAACAATGTATAGTATTTTTAAGGTGATATTAAATGGTTTTAACAGTGATCCAATTCTCTAAGATAATATTAAAAAGGTTTTAAAAAATCTGCATCTAAATATTACTTTCAAGATTCTAACTATTAACTACACAGTTTAAAAAGAAAGCTCCCTAGCTCATTAGTGCATCTTACACGGATGTGATTGTGCTCCTTTATTTGGGGCGTCTAAAATAGTGATAATTATAAGGTGGCGTTGAAAATAGGAATATTGGTTATTTATTGAAATATTTTTTGTTTGAAAATATATTAAAATAATAATATTTTTATTTTTTATAATTTTATAATTTTTATAATCAGTACAATAAAAAATAAAAAATATCAAAACAAATTAATTTAAAATAAAAAATATTTAATTTTTAAAAAAACTCAAATTAAATCGCTATTCCAAACTACTTTTAGTATACTCTCTCAAAATTTGAATGTCCCACCGTGAAAACTTTGATGTTTTTTTCTCAGAAAAGGGTAGACCTTTAAACTCTAATTGTTAATTAATGAACGTCGGCCCTTCACGGTCTTTTAATAATTAAACATAACAGGCATGTCCTGACAAAATATCCAAGATTAAATCAGGTTGTACATCCCACTAATAACAGCTAATTAATGCTTAAATATAGAATTCATGGGTATAAAATGATTATCATGTAATATTTTTTTTAAAGTATTTTTTATTTGAAAATATACTAATATATACATATATATAAATTATTTTTAATATCAATATATTAAAACTATAAAAAATACTAATAAATATTAATTTAATATTTTTTAAAAATATAATTATAAAAAAAATTACATCAACAAGTACAAGGGATATGAATTTTCAGTCGCAGTTCACAAGACCCTCGTATAGAATATTCCTCGTCCACAACCACTAAAGCCAAACCCCCGCAAAAATTGCCTTCCACGAACCCCAATCTTATATTACCATGACAACCACATGTTAATTATTCTACCAATCAACCAATCCTTTGACAACAAAGACAAAGCTCACAAGTTAAAAACACCCAGGATCTAACTAAATTTCAAAGGCCCAGATTAAATCCAACGCTTTATCATGGATAAGGATAAAACTCAGCATCATCACCCCCATTCTCCTCCCCCCTTGCGTCTACTCAATTCAGCACCCCAAAAGGCCAAAACTCCCCCCTTATTGTGTCATCAAACCGTTTCCAAATTATCCACTTGTAAATTCCACGTCGGCCACTAAAAAGGGGTTCAAAAAAATAACAACAACTAAAGGGTCCTTATTTCCCAACACCAGCTACGTACTCTCTCGCCTATATAAACACTATTGGGCCCTCAGAACTCTCAAGCAAACTTCACATAATTTTTTTTAGTGTTCTCTCTGAAAAACACACAACATGGTTTCTTGGGTTAGAGGAAAGTGCGTCGGCAAAGGCTCGTTTGGCTCCGTCAACTTGGCTTTCAACAAACAAACTGGTGCCGTTTTCGCCGTGAAGACTGCCAGTGAAGCAAATCAAGTTCAAGCGTTAGACAGCGAAATCAAGATTCTAAGCTCTCTATCTTCTCCTTTTATAGTTAAATTCCTCGGCGACGACGTATCGTTTGAGAACTCGAGAGCTTGTCGGAATCTTCACATGGAGTACTTGCCCGGCGGCACCGTTGCTGACCTGGCTTCATCAACTCAACGTTTCGCTGATGTGAACGAGGAGACTGTTCGGTCATTTACTTACTGTATAGTCTCTGCTTTGAAGTACATACACTCTAGAGGCATTGTTCACTGTGATGTTAAAGGACGGAATATTCTATTGGGTCACAGTTTCGATTCCGTTAAACTAGCAGATTTCGGGTCCGCGATTGACGCCACATGCGGCGAGCCTCTCTTGCCCCGTGGAAGTCCGTTGTGGATGGCTCCGGAGGTGATTAAACGAGAATACCAGGGACCGGAAAGTGACGTTTGGTCTTTGGGATGCACAATTATCGAGATGGTCACTGGAAAACCGGCCTGGGAGGATCACGGGGTTGACTCGCTAAGTCGAATCGGGTTTTCAAACGAGATGCCCGAGTTGCCGAGTCAGTTGTCCGTACTCGGTCAGGATTTTTTGAAGAAGTGTTTGGAGAGGGAACCAAGAAAGCGGTGGAGCTGTGATCAGCTACTGAAGCATCCATTCTTAGCTTCCGTGAGTCCTAATTTGTTGGGCAACGAATTGTCTCCACGTTGCGTACTCGATTGGTTTAATTCAGATTGCGAGGAAGATATTGACGTAACGGAACGTGGGATGAGTTCGGGTTTTGAGAATATTGAGGTTGCGGCTAGAAATAGGATTGGTAAATTGGTGGCAAGTGGGGGGGTAAATTGGGAAACAAAAGATGGCTGGGTGGAGGTGAGGAGCTGTTGCGGGCATCGTGGAGGAGGAGAGGAGGAAGAATTGGGGACAAGTTCGGTATATTCTTCTGACTCGGCTCGGATAAGTGAGGAAGGGTGTATAAAACGGGAAGTTTGTAATTCCATTGGCAGTGAATTACACGTTGATGGGTCTAACAGGTCGATCTCTTGTGGAATTTGCTGGTGTGGTGCGGTGTGCTCGGGCGGGAAAGGGGGTGGTGGTTTGGGTTGTCATTATGGGTCACACAAGGTGGAGCTATCGGTGGAGGGGTGTGAGTTGCTGGTGTTGGTAGGGATTTACCACATATTGTTGTGTAATTTGTTACTGTACTTACTGCAATTTATGAGAACAATAAGACATAATTTTATCCTTTATTCTAAACTTTTATTACTGGGTTTAGTTCATGCATGTGAATGTGTGTATATCCAGCTGTGTTTTCAGTCCAGTTATGGAGTCGTTCTGCTCTTTACAGGGTGTAGAACTACTATTCTGACATATAGTTAGTCACTTTATAGTTTGGTGTCCTATTTGTGCTGCCATGTATTTATAGGTGCAAACAGAATTAATTTCCTAGCGGGGTCTTTACCATTCATGCGATCACGTCAGAGTCTAAAATAGCTTCTAAAATGGTTACTTTGATAAAAATGGAGAGTAATTGTTTTCACCGAGCATCTTGAAAGAGACTGAACAAGTGAATGCTTCTTGTGCTAAAATAATATCGGACTTCATCTCTTATGAAAGACTCAATCTGAAAGCATATGATCTTGTCCTCACACAACAGCCTGAATCTTGATCCCCTACGAGTTAAACAGAGGATCAGTCAAAGTCTAGAGCATAGATAACTAACAACTTGTGAACATGGCAATTAGTCACAGGGACACTGTAGTGACAAGACAATAAGGAGAAGAAATGGAAAGAGTGGTTGATCAATTCAAGATTGAAGATACAGCAAGATTGCCGCCGGTTTGTAGTCTTGCTTGATTTTGTTTCCTGAAGGCAAGTGACCATAAGTTTGCCATGGAGACCATTTTGGCAAACAAGGCATGCGGATCAACATGCAGCTTGCTGGAGAATGGTCTCTCATTATCATGTGCATGTCAATGATTGTGTCCTAAATAGGTTACAACAAGAAACCATTCAATTTCGAAGAGACACGAGTGTCTTTACCAGCTATCAAACAGAAGACTCAAATCCAATCGAAGTTATCCAACGGATCATAATTTTTCCCTTTCTGACCGAGCACATATTGTTCATAGCTAATTTTTCTTAAATCATGTGGCTTCAAGGGGGTTGATTGCGTACCATTTCTCAATTCTGAATCTACAAACATCACAAAAGGGAGCTTCACTTGGACGAATCAATTAATTAGTGTACACTTTCCAATGAATCGGTGACATGACATCCTATTTGATTCCCACATTTCCTACACGGCTTTTCAATCACATTCTATGAATTTGATACGCGAATTGAATGTATAAACAATAAAAATATGTGACTGGACATTGACGAATTATAGGATGCCAGGTAAAATTTAAGACATAGCAGGCACTCGAGCTATTATAGTCCAATGAAGCAGGATGGTCACTGTCATTTTCAATGTGATATTTCTAAAGCGATGAAATATCATGACGTTGAAGATGATGTGGGATCAATGATACCTAGATTAGCTCCTTCTTGCCTGTCTTTTATTTTGGCATGCCACATGACCAGTGTCTCTTAGACGTCTCTGTGGCGGCATGGCATAAATTAAGATGAGCGCTGAGAGCAACTTGATGTCGTAGTTATCCAGTTCTTAAATTCGATTTTCAAGATACAAGTGATTAAAAAAAAAATTTCAAAGGATCCAAGCCCAGTTATTCTAGTGGTGAAATAGTCACATTTCCGTGATGCTATAGCGTTGTAAAGGAACCCAACCCGTTCTCGTCATGAACATAGTAAAAGCTTGATCAAAATTTATGTGTGAAACGTTTGAGTTTGGCACCTGTTATTTGTCAAGCACCTGTAACTCGTACAAAAGATTGGATGTCCAAACGACTTCAGTGGTATCCCTGTCATCTATGCCTCCTGCGTGCTCCCAACATTTCATGGACATAAGATCCGTTTTGCAGTGTGCTCTGTTAACAAACGACATTAAGATTTTATCATGTTTGCCAGCAATTTTCTTCTTGATGATATCCCATAACTTGAGATTCTGTTGATTGTTAAGTTTTGGCGTACATGATGAAGCTTCTCACTAGTGCTCCTCCTTTCATACACTATGCACGCATTAAAGTGTTGCCAAGATTCCAATTGTTCATAAAGAAATCTAATCCGAACCAGGAAATTTCATTGCATATCTATTGTTAATTCTCTTCCTTTTGTCTGTTCCCATCCGAGGGAACTGTGTCCAAGGCCGATCTTTTTCGTACCCCAAAGGCCTGGTCTTGATTAATCTATGAACCTGGGTTGTCTCGCACTCCGGGCCAGAGATCCCATGGAATGACAACATGCTCCCACGTCAGAAGGAAAAAGTTGCGGAGAGGAGACAATGATGTTATAGTTGATAAGGGGGTAAAACAAAGGAAAAATCATCCACTGTTGGCCCGTGGTTTTGATAGGCAATAGCACAAAATATCAGCTATTCAGGGAATATTGTGATTTTTTTTAAATTTTATTTAAAATATTATTTTAATATATTAATGTTAAAAATAAAAATTTTTATTTCAATATATTTTTAAATAAAAAACACTTTGAATCGTTACCATTATTATAATCCAAAACACACATAATTATTATAACTAGTTTAAAAACTAGTTTTTAATTGATTAATGTATGTATTTAATATAAAAAATCAAAGTTTAATTATATTATTTTAAGCTTAAAATTTTCATCACAGAACATTAATATATCTAAGATTATTTATAATAAGTGGTAAATTGATTTCGAATAATATTTGATTAACAAAAACTTTTAATCCATAGAACTTTAATCTCTTATTGAAAAATTACAAGTTTTTGACATAGTTTATATAATGATATGCCATGAAAAGTAAAAATCTAGAGAACTTTAATTTCTTATTGAAAAATTAGATTCGGAAAGCATAAAGCTTTGGGCAAAGAGAGACCTGAATTTTGTGAAAGGACGAGGGGGTTAGTTAAAGACACAACAAGCTAAGCAAGTCTTCCACGCCGTTCTGCCTTTCTTCAAGCTCGTTCTTCGTTCATATTATTTGAAGCTGAGGCCGTTTACACCAAAACAAATGGTTCTATCCTTTACAGTAACATTCTTCATTTTCTATTTTTATCCAGAATTCTGCAATTAATATTAGAATATTGCCATGCTAATCTAATAAGATAAAAAATATAAAATATAAAAATTTACATAATTTATTTAATTTAGATTACATCCACAGCTAATATAAATTTTTTTTACTAAATAATATAAAAATTACAACATCTCTTTAACAATACTTTTACTAAATAATATAAAAATTACAACATACAATATGAGAACAACTAAAAAATTCTTTATTGCTAAAATAAAAATATCTTAATTACTTTCTCACAATCACAAGTACCTTATAACTCTATAGGATTATATTTTCTTCATTCTTTTCTTTTTCTTTCTATCTTAATATACATTTAAGATTTTGATATATTATCTATTTATAACAAAAAGTATAAAAACAAAGATCATAAATCATAATATCAATTATATCACAAATTATACCAATAATTCATCTACATACATATTTTACCAATTATATAAATAACTTATCTTCCACATTCATCTACATTCATATTATACCAATTATGTAAATAACTTATCTTCCACTTTTTTTTTTTTTAATAACTCATTTTTCACCAATTAGGTGAATTTAATAAAGCGGCTTTAAAAATAAATACCTTATTCACAATGTTTTATTTTTTTTTACTCATTTAATTTGATATATTTGTATGCCATGTACATGCATATAAAATTCAATCAACTCATTTTATATATTTGTCACTGCTCTCTGAAATTAGTGTTTAATGCATCAAGAAATATTTACAGTCACTCGTGTATAAAAAGGAGCTAAAGAGCTGTAACGAGAAGGAAATAAAATGCGCATCACCTTTTATCAGACTTCTCCAAACATGTCATCACAAAACTCAACCTTTTGTTTTCAGTGCTGTCTCGCATTGGTGCCCCCGAACAGAGATGGGTACTTTCCTAGAAAGTCCTCGAGCAGAATGGAGAAAGAGGTTGTGCTGTGCCTCCTGAGGAGAACAGTATGGAAGTTAGTGATGTAGCCATCAAAATTTAGGTACGCGAACAGCTGCAGAAGAGAGTGGCAGTATGCGTGCCAGAAGACCGAAAGGCTTTCAAGAATTGAAATATAATCCATTGTTTCAGTGAACATTTATATTCGTTAAATACTTACATTTTACAATCTGGAAATAAAACCGAAACAATTAATCTGTGAAAAAGAATATCAATTTATTGTACTTATAAATCTAACTGTTTAAAGTATATTAAGAATACTATCAAACTTGCGATGTCTAAAATAATAAATATAAACTATTATTTCTACATTAATTAATGAATATTAGTGTTTTTAATTAACTTAAAACAATAATTTCTCCACTCATTAAAATTATTTTTAAGAAAAATTTACAATCATCATAAAAGAAGATAATTCATTGTTGAGAAAATAATATAATTAAATTATAATTCACCCGGTAGCTAAATTATTTCTTTAAATATATTTTATAATAATATAAATAATTAACATTTTAGATTTGATGATGAAAATGAAGTTAGTTCAAATTAACAGTTTAGATCTAAATGTAAAAATGAAGGATGAAATTATGAAATATTTAAATGGATTATGAAAAAAACTTAACTTTATTCTATTTATGTCTGTCTTCTCTGTTTCTCATGGATATAAAATACATCAAAACTATTTTTTGTCTCCATTTTCATAAACAAAGGTGTTTTTATCCTTATTGTTTCTGTTTTATCATTTTAAAAAAAGTCAACGACTATTTAAGTCAACTCACCCTCATTTTACACGACGTTGTTTCAGAATCCAGACAACACGATTACCTCCTCCTCTTCATCTATACACTACTGATCTCTTCTTCGTTTACTATTAAGCTTTGGTACAGCACTTATTCACTTGCATAAGAGGGAGACTTGCTTTGATTTGTGTACCGAAGCAAAACAGTGAGTGGTTGTTGATTCAAGAGAAGCAATATAGCGAGAGAGATACCTCGCCTTTGAATCATCGTTATTGCTCCGTTTAAAGTCAACCCGCCCTTCTAAAGTCTAACCTAGACCCACCGGGCCATCAACTTCCCGGGAACAGACCTAGTTTTCGGGACTAAATATGGCCCAAGGCTTCAAAAGCCCAAGACCAATATCTAGTGGTACAATGGAGATCTACGTCAACGTACAACCCAATTGAATCGCATTTTAGCTCGTCGCATCAAGGAGGAAGAAACACAGACCCGTTTTTCACCGATCCACAAAAGAACACACTCTCTCTTCCCC